TGTATGTATGTATGTATGTATGTATGTATGTATGTATGTATGTATGTATGTATGTATGTATGCACGCATGTATGTATGTATGCATATATGTATGCATATACATAGTTAAACTATTTTTCGTCAAATTACATTGCCTTTTCAAACTGAATTCATCATCACACAAAGCTTAATAATAATATTCTACGTTTATTCTCGCAGGGCAGAGCACCAACAGACTGATGTAGCTAGATATGAAATGGTGTACTTGATGAGTCGCATCATTTACTGTACTCACTGCTAACAGTTTTTCAGTAAAATGTTCAGTTAAAAAATTCGAGAAACTTAAGCTCAAGTGTGACTACTTTTTTACAGGCAATAGCAGGATGGAAGGACATACATACATCATTATGCACACTTCATGAAGACGTATCAAATAAACCTTTCACTTGATATTCTATGATATGAAATTGTTTTACTGCAAGACATTTGGAAATTTACTAAAAAATTTCAGCTTTCGGCAGTGTTGATGAATCCAGAAATGAAGGATTCAGAACGAATAAAGAAGATCAGTGAGTTTTTCGAAAATGTGGATGGAGATGTGAAAAAGGAATTCCGAGATCGAACACGAGATCTATTGTAACTGATTGGCAAGAACTTATGATGAGTCAAGCGATAATTTTGGAATATCAGAGACAATTTCTCTAAACAGTGACTTAGCTGTTGATTCTTTCTTTTCAAACATTATTCGACTTTAGTTTTGGGTTGAGAAATGAATCTGTCAAATGAACTGCATTTTAAAATGCTCTAAAATAAAACTGAGTTTTTCAAACCGACTAAATGATATACGAAAATGTAATGTTTTTCCCGTCCCCTTTAAAAAGTAAGCTGGGCTGGAAAGTACCAGGCTTGCCGATGCGATCATGCGTTTTTACAGCAAACTTGAAGTAATCAGATCGTAAACTACATGAATACTTGTTGCTTTGTATCTATCTTGTGTGCTTGTTAGCGTATACCATCATAAATTTTCCATAAATGAAAATGAACAATTTCCGTTTAGCCGTTGTTCTTTGAAAAAGATGCTCTTCTGGGAGCAATTTTCTTGCCAGAACTTTTAAGTGGTCACTCGTGAGAATGACACATATCTGAGGGTGATCTTGAAATCTTTATGTATTACTTGGACAGGGGACATTCCGTTAAAATTACAGCTTTCCTGCCTCGCTGGTTTCGAAGTTAGCAGTTTTCCTGCCAAAACCCCCACATGTCCATACGTGAGAACCGTGCTCACCTAGGGCACGAATTTGTAATCTTTCGCTCACACATGCCCAGAGAATATCCCCGCAAAATTTCAGCTCTCCATTTTGTCTAGTTCCCAAGATCGCTTTCCTACCAAAAATTTGCGTATTTTTAAGGCGCCGGTATGCGGTGCCCAGGCGCACGTGGGTGACTATATTCAGGAGGGCCACACGTGATGTAGACACATGCTCCTGACGTTTCAGCCTTCTAGCACTTCTGGTTCTCGAATTGAAGTGGGTGACAAAAAGCACGAACACACAGAAAGACATACGCACAGGCAGACTCTTCCCAATATGCGTTTGCAATTTGCTTATAGGCAAAAACGCGTAAAATTGATTTTTGCAAGCTTTTCCGGAAATCTTGTTGAGTAACGATCGACTTTTGTAGAACTTTCGGTAAACAAATGGAGAAAGGAACGTAAAGATCGAACAACAGCCGAACAAAGTATAGCCAATTTAATTTTTTTGGGTACAAAACATGAGCGGCTTGGATACTAAATCACAGTTTTCACTTTTCTGACTGGTCAACAAAATGCTCAGGGATGTTAGAAAAAAACCTGCAAGCAGCCGAAATTTGCCTTATTCAGACAATCTTTAATTGTTTTTTTCTCGCAGATTGAATTGTTGTTTTGTCAAAAAATGAAAAATAAGTGAAAATGCCGGTAAGTGAATTAACAATCCATTAAGGACAATGAAAAAACCACAATATAAAAGTGAAAGTTATGAGATTTCACTGCAGTGAAAAATCGTGCACTGTACTGAAAAATTCCTGGATAAATTTGTCTAAAAATACCTCGTCTGCAACAATATACGGCAACTTTCTTTTTCCACTGTTTGATAGGGAACCAAAGAGGCCAGGCGCAACTCGCCGCCACTTGTGCATGGCTTTGCTCGTCATCGCTGCAGTATTTATACTCCATGTATTCATCTACTATCTGTACAAGGAATACATTGTGCTGCGATACAAATATCCTCCGGGGCCGCTGCCATTGCCGCTTGTGGGGAATTTCTTGCAGGTAGTAGACAGAACGAAAGCATGTTGATGAGTGTTGCACTTTACCCGGATAGTAGACAATGTCTTTATCAAAGTCCACTGTAATTAGGAGAGAGATCGCGCAAAAAAACTATGTTAGGATTCTTAGAGCAAATAGAAAGTAGGTTTCTTCTAGCAAAAAAACTGTCAAAAACTTTTTTGTCAAAAAAAAATCGAAATAGATCGAATTCATAAATTCAATAAATTCAATCACTGATCTCAGTCTTCGG